GTGTAACGACATTCTTAATTCTCATTTCAATAACGGAAGCGAACGAATACACGAGTGGGATAAATTAATTAACGTAAAAAGTGCAGGTAGATATTATTTAAGCCTTAAAAAGTACTGTCCGATACCCGCAAAATGACAGACAGAGCGTAGGTGCGATTATTATTTCACCGAATTCAAATTCTGATTGATATAGAGATTGATGAGACGCATTTTATGATACAATAATAATTATTAGTAGTATTGAATTTTTTAAGGCTTGCCCACTAATCATTAATAATAAATTTTTGAATAAACATGCGTATGTATTTCGATGTAATATTTACAAATATTCTGCATCATTTTTCGTCTAAAAGTTGCAGAGAAGAAGACGGAGTAAATAATTTTAAAGTTGAGAAAGTAGAGAAAAATATAGTCAGAAAATTATTAAATTTAACAAACTACTAATGACGAGTTATATTTAATAATATACTTATGTTAATAAGAATAGTGAGCTGTAAATCGAAGATCCGACTACTTTCTATTGCCATTATCAACTCTAATCAACATCGTGACAATTATAATTAATTGTGACTAATATATTTAAATATCTTATTTATTTATACGCTCATCGCTTCCTAGTAATTGAGTAATTAGCAAAAATTTAGTACATAAATCTTATCTTATTCTTATTTCATCGTTGGAAGCTTATTGCATTAAAAAATGCAATAAATTGTACTCTATAAATAATAATAATAATACTTGATCGTTGCAAATAACTACGAGTTAATATTTAATTATTTACTTTTATTTTATAAAGCGATACATAGATGTTCTTCTCTTATATTTTTAAAGACTCGGGGAGGACAAATGTAGGTTTAAGTGCACGAGGAATCTCCTTCATCTCGATTACTTATCAATGAAATTCATCGCGTTAAGTATCTCATAGAATGTACCGATATTATAAGACATAAGCGATCAAGGTTTATTAATCTCGAAGAATAATGGTAATCTCAGCAGGTATGTAGAGTGACATTTATACAGTAGTAGTAGTAGTAGTAGTAGTAGTAGTAGTAGTAGTAGTAGTAGTAGTAGTAGTAGTAGTAGTAGTAGTAGTAGTAGTAGTAGTAGTAGTAGTAGTAGTAGTAGTAGTAGTAATAGTAGTAGTATTACTAGTTGTGCAATGTTATTTTTTCGCTCCAGATTATATCGCTACATAAATCTTTTCTGACACTCAAGTTCTCAAAGTGAGCGACTAAAGCACTTAGACCGACTAATCGTTCTCAAGAGGATACTCGGGTCACCTGGTTCTAATATCAATACTATACAAGCCAATTTTATCACCGACTAATACTCTAAATATTTACAATGATATCATTGCATAAATTCCGCTTTCAAAAATTACCCCGTCATAAACGCCATAAAGACACCATAAAGAATATTTACCAGCTTCGGGAGTTTCGAAATTGAAAAGCTGCTGACCGACCGCGTTCAATAATATTGGCCAAACAATGATCGAAGTGAAATTCCTCATAAACTCTGAGTCTGTGGATGCACCGCTGCTCGAAATAGGACATTAGCATATACTTTAAAGCAATTAGATTTAGCACGTGTTTGATTAGAGATTTGAGCTGCATATTATTGCCATCGCGTTGAAGCGAGAGTCGCTTGGTGGGAGAAGAGCGTTAGCGAGGTTTCGTCCAGGAGGGTGGGAAGTGGGGAGATTACAAATATTGTTTAAATATTGAAAAGAGATGAGTGGGCTTGATAGAGTTCGAGGACGAGCGATTGCGCTACGGCCTATTTCGTGGATGACACAAAGAAAGGGCTTTCGAATTAACGAGGAAATGTCCGGTGGAAGTTTTATTACCTGCATGATTATTGTTGAAGCTTAAATGGCTCCGGGTGTACCGGGAACATTATCCTGACAATCGTGACTCCCTGTCGGCCGCTGTCTGCCTCGTATTAAGTCGTATTACTTTTATATATACTCCCCCCCCCCCATCGTTGGCATATCGCACGGAGGCAGGCGCGAGTGGTACTCCTCGTGGGATGCATGACTTCAATTATACGAGACGCCGCTCCGTTGTTCGGTTGGCGCTGGGGAAGAGAAACTCGAGACTCGCCTGCTGAATTCTCCTAGATGGACCTGGAGGCCTTCGGCCTCGGGATTTTGACGCCGAGCGCCAAGACGAGCCAAATCTATCTCTGACAAGCCTATCCCCGTGCTTCCTCGTGCTCTCTCATCTTCTCCCCTATGTCGATATTCTCGACTCGGCGTGCTCTTCCATCTCTTCACTTTACGTCACCATCTTTTTACGATCTCTGTCGCAGCGATGCGCGAGCTCCGACTTTTCCCGCGCGCCTTCCTTTTCGCTGACTATTCACAAAAGTTTCTTTCATTCCCCAACTCAGCTAAGTCACTCTCTCGCCTTATTTCCATCGGCCATGCGATTCGGTCTAGCATTGCCCTGCCGTTATGTCAGCTGTTTTAATTGGCCTCTCTATGTGGAGGAAACAGATGAGGTAAATGAAGAAGACGAAGAAAAAGAAGGGAAAGAAGATACTTAAAGAAAGGCTTTAGAGCCACTTGGTGGCTGTAATACTGCGAATGTATTTAATAAATACTTTCGTCGTCTCGCAACCAAAGCCCGCGGGACTTTCTATTTTTATACTTAACATGGCTTTGCGAATATTCATTACGGCGTGAAAAAATACGCGTACACGCCAACAGATATTTATAATAGCTATTGACTACCATACGACTCAAGATTTTCCGTATGCGTCAAGGGCCACGCAATCTCGCATTCGTATCAAA